GTGCATCGCTTCTAGTAACAGTGCCTTACTAGTAGTAAAAAGAAGCTATTAAAAACAATAAGCTACTAGGAACAAGTGCATCGCTTTTTGTAACAAGTGCCTTACTAGTAGAAACAAGAAGCTATTAAACACAATAAGCTACTAGGAACAAGTGCATCGCTTCTAGTAACAAGTGCCTTACTAGTAGTAACAAGAAGCTATTAACAACAATAAGCTACTAGGAATTCTCCGGGTACCAAACTCAAACAGCCAACTTTTGCCAAGTAAGTTGTAAGTGTTTCGTAAGTATTTTGTGTGTAGATTAGTCAGTCATCGTGCTGTTTGCAAATTAGTCGATAGCTAACTCTTGAGACACCAACCCAACTGTGACTTGAAGTTGCTAAGCGCCGGTTGAAGTGGAGCACCAACCGCGTGGGAAAATGAGCGCCCAACGGGTGAGGCTAAAACGTTGTATATGTAACACAAACGCAAGTGCCGTCCTACCCTGGAGACCCTTTGGGCCGTGCATGGGGACACAAACAACTTCACCATTTGGTCGCCCAAGCTGCCTCAAAAAAGGTCATTTTGTTGACAAGATTGGAGGTGAACTGAAGCCGAAGGGAAGAAGCAGAGTGAACAAGCGCAATCTTTGCAATATTTAGGCAAAGTGACGATTCACGCCTTCGCTGCTTTCAACACGTTTTTTTGGACGCGATTTCTCAATTTGACAAGCTTTGCCAGGTACTATCATTCAGCGAGAGCGGCAGGGCACTCCATCCCAGCATCGGAGCATTCAACCATCACATCTTGGGGAGTAGAGTGTGAAGTGGACGCGATGAGAAATATGTTGCTGCAATATCCACATGGCTTGGTGGCTTGCGTTAGTGATTCCTTTGATGTTTTCAAAGCATGCCGCGACTATTGGGGCGATGAATTGAAAAGTTTAATCAAAGGGCGAATCTCTGGCGACACTTGGGGTCGACTTGTAGTGCGTCCAGACAGTGGAGATCCAACTGAGACCTGCGTGCAGATTGTGACGATCTTGTGTGAGCAATTCAAGGACAGAAATTGAAAAAGAAACTGTTCTTTCAATTCATGTTACTTTCCGCGGATTCTATGAGTTTCGCAAAACAGATGTTGGGCAGTAACCTTTTTAAAGATTGCGCTGAGGAGGATGTCGTGACAACAAAGACAGGACACAAGCTCTTGCCAGCATACATCCGCGTCATTCAAGGGGATGGTGTGGACTATGAGTCAATCCCGAAGATCCTTGGAGCGTTGAAGGATGCAGGAGAGTGACGGAACAAACATTTCAGACTCGTTGGGTGTGTCAGGTGTTTTGTTCTTCACATTTTTCACTTCAAACACTCGGGTTTTAAGTTGTTTTTTTGTTTTTTCCCTCTTCATTCTTTCACATACACTCTTCATTATTCACCCTTTGTCTTCTTCCGAAGGCTTCGCAGCAGACAACATGGTTTTTGGCAGTGGCGGGGCGCTGCTACAGAAGTTGAACCGTGACACCTTCAAATGTGCCTTCAAATGTTCAGAGATCACGGTCAATGGGCAAACCCGGGAAGTCTTCAAGGAGTGCTTGCTCAACACTTGGCATGCCGTAACGCTCGCAGTCTGAGCTATGTAAATTGCCACCAGTTTTCCCTTGCAGGACCCCATCACCGACAAGGGAAAAGCATCAAAAAGAGGCCGGCTCACGGTGCAATTGGCAGCGGATACCAGTGGCAGTGATGAGGCGACTTGGCGATGTTGACAGCTTTCCACATTGAAACTGAAAGCGCATTTCCCTTTTTCATCACCATGTGGCCATGGCTGATGCGTTTTGGCTCAAGAAAATTCACACTGTGGCTGGTGTGTGTTTGACCTGAGACCGGAGACCCTTCAGGTTATGAGCCCAACAAGCTAACCGCGGCGATCAATGTCCGTCATGCAGAGGAGCTGGCAGCAGAGATGGTGGCGCGTGGAACTGGTCACAGCGCAGTCAATCACACCATCCTCCGAGACAGGTTAGGCCAACCTCAAAACTGCAAGAGGGTGTCAGGCGTTCTTCTGGGCCGAGTGAGTCCGTCTACTTAGTCTGTTAATGTCAATAGCATGGCCGCAAAACGGAACATGGCCCCAGCTGGGCTAAGCTTACAATATTCATAGGCTCTTCAGCTTCACGCGTGACCTTTCCTCGGGCGTTTCGAAGTACAGGCGGGAATGGCTCCAACATTGTCGACAGGTCTGAAGCGCCCAGCATTCAACTCGCCCGCGTGACGACTGCTGAGCACTGATGGAGTGCCGTTGCATTGGGCAGATCGACGGCCGCCGTCGAACAAACAATCCAACCGACCGATCCGAAGCGATCTGTGCATTCCTCGATAATTAACGCATGTCCTCCAATCCCGCTCATCTACCATCTTCCACCGCTTTTTCTGAGGAGCCGGCCGATGACGTCAAGATGGGCTCCTTGAGTGAACTCGACGACGAGACGAGCCCATGAGTTCCAAGTACCATGACACCCTGCCGAAGCCTTCCCACATCACTCTTTTTTGGTGAGTGAAGGCCCAGACACATGAAACCAACGTCGCATTGAGCCGGCGCGGGTTGGATTGGCTGTGCAATTGCCAGGCCATCGTAGGGGATGCAGCAATAAGCTCTGCATTGAGGCTATGCAAACATTCTTCCCACTTGGTGATCTCATCGCTGAGAGCTTATTTTGAGCTCCCAGATCTAGGCGTCCTCCACCAACTCTGCCGCCAGGCGGCAGTCCACGATAGTGAGCTGTAGGGCCAGTGCAGGGGTGCTTCTTCCACCCGCACCAGGACCCAAGGCCTGCAGGTTCCTCTAATTTGACATTTCCTCTCAAATCGGCCATGAGATGATCAGCGCTCTTTGCCGCACGGTTCGGAATATAGCAGAGCGGGCTGAATCATCTTTTCAATGGCGGTTCGTTGCAAGAAGTTGCAGCGCCGTTGTTGCGAGACCAGGGCCTACCTGCCCGCAGCGGATCGGTCGGTCCGGACCAATCGAAGTTGTAAGTTGCAGACCAAGTGAAGTTGGCTAGCGCCTGCAAGTGTGACTCGGTGGTTCTACCATGCCAGAGCAGCGGGCTGCAATTGGCGCATCGATCGCAAGCCAGGCTGACGTCGGAGTAAAAAAATACGACGCTGAGACAGGTCACGGCTGCTTCACATTTTCAATCACCCAACTCCGGAAACAAGTTTCTGGAAGCGCGACAGTTTTATCCCAGCAGCGCAGCTCGGTTACCTCTGGGGCTGGGGGTGGCGTGCGCATTGTCAATCTGGAGTTCCTCCTGGAAGCCTGGGTGTCGGTGTGTTGAACCCTTGTTTGAACCTCGGGCGCGCGCGACTAGTGACTAGTGTAAGTGATTGACAGGAGTTGGGTCTGGTGGGTAGGTGAGAGCTAACTTGATCCAAGAGCAATAGGACAATCGGACAAAAATCCTTCAGAGTGTAAACTTGCTTTCTTGCAACGAGAGTGAGCCAAGCACCCCTCTATGGACACGCGGGATGACGGGATGAATGAAGGTGGCGCGACTGAAATGACCTGCGGTGTTTGGTTGGGTTGCCTCGTTTGCGATGTCCCCGGCTACATCCGACTGTTCGCTTCCTTAGATAAAGGGCTCTTCTTGGGGAACGCGAGGAACTAGACGTCTGCTTCCCGTGCGGTTGGGCTTTCAAGTTGGGTTGTGAGCCCGAGATTTTTGACAGTGCGTCAGTGAGCATCAGGCAGGCCGAGGTTTTGGAGGTTCTTCCGGGATGCCACTCGCATTTTGCCGTTGCATCTTTGGATGTCAAATGGGCGCTGTGCTGTTGGGTTGCTCCGTATGCGGTGCGTCTGACTGTCTAATAGTTTTGGCCGTCTCCGTTTGTTTACGCAGCGCAAGAGCCAATAGAGTGTTGAAATCTTGATTCGCGTGGAATTTCAACTTTGAAAACTTCAGGTGGCCTTCCGGCCATGGCTGACGCTCTTCGGCTCAAGAAAAGCTGATTCGCGCTGGGCTTACGTTTCACCTGAGAAACAATTCGAGTAGGCAGTTGGCTTGCGCCTTGCTCATTGACTTCAAAACTCCAGAGACGGGCCTCTCCGATGTATTATAGTGGAAAGCTTGCAGTCTATATCGACGATATAATTCCAAAGCCAAAATTAGTCAGGATTTGCGGGGTGCCTCATTTGCATCATCATATTCTAACTGCAAACGCACATCATCGAATGGGTGTGGACTTGCACTTAGAATTCGAGAAAATGTGCGACTTTGAAGATCAAGATCAAGATCAAGATCAATCCAGTTCAAGATCAACCAGATCAAAGTTAGCCAGAATATATAATATATATAATGTTGACCTCTGATTTATAAAATCACTGCCTTTTTTGATTTCGGGAATTAAGACCTTAAATAAAGTTTCCAAGAAAGAACGAATAAAATTAAACTTTCCCTTACTAAAACGAATATTCAATTAAAGGTGAATTAGTATTCAACTTAGAAATGAATTTGAATTGAATTTAAATTGAAATTGAGTTTGAATTGAATTTGAATTTAAATTCAATTACCAATTGAATTCAATTCAAATTCCATTTCAGTTCAATTGAATTTATATTGAATTGAGTTTGAATTTAAATTCAATTGAATTTGAACTAAATTGAATTTCAATTGAATCTAAATAAATTGAATTTGAATTGAATTTGAGTTTAAGTTTAATTGGAATTGAATTTGAATTTAAATTCATTTGGATTTAAATTGATTTGAATTGGAATTGAATTAAGTAATTAGAATTGGAATTGAATTTGATTTTAAATGGAATTGAATTTGCATTGAATATAAATTAGTTAAATTAAATCTAATTGGAAATGAAATGAACCAAATTCTTTAGCCTTACTTAGGGTACACTCTATTTAGGGTTTGGCGCATGCAGGAAAATTCTTTAGCTTTATTTATTGGGTAAACGTTATTTAGGGTTTGGTGGCTTCATGGGGAGAACCCTTTCCAAAATGGTTTTGATCAATTTTCAATTGTTTTTAAATAAGCTGTTTATAAAGACGTTTTATCACAAGGTTTTGAAGTTTGATGAGCAATTCAAATTAGAATTGATTTTGAATCCAACTAAAACTTGAATTGCAAATGATTGAATAAGGGCTGCAATTGAATGAACAAAATTCTTAGCTTTATTTAGGGTAAACCTTATTTTGGGTAGGGTGGCTTCATGAAAATCCATTAGCTTTATTTAGGGTAGACTTTTTTAGGGTTTGATGGCTTCATGGGGAGAAAGGGGAAACCTTTCCAGAATGGTTTTGATAAATTTTCAATGGTTTTTATAATGGATTTATGAAGAATTTGTATCAGAAGGTTTTGAGGTTTGATGAACAATTCAAATTTGAATTGAATTGGTGTTGAATTTGAATTGAACTCTGATTGAATTGCAGAAGACAAGTCAGGAATTATTTGCAGAGTGAGAGCTCATTGCTTTGTAGACGACAAGTACTTGACTGTTGAGCGATCGGTCAACGAGCTTTGGAGTCAGGGTCTTCAAGATTGAGAAATCTATTTCCTTTCGGAGCATCCACCTCGAAACCGGTACATCCGTCACTGCCAATCTTTTGGAGAGTTCGTTGACAAGATGGTGGGATCTCGCATTGTTCCCCGAGAGGATCTTCCTGCGTGGTCAGTGGAGTTCCCTCTGCCCTGAAGCTTGTCAGAACTAAGACACTCTGTGTATGGAATCTTCTTCTAGCCCTGAGTTTTCTTTAAGTTCGTCTGTAGGGGGCTTGCCAATAGTCCAAAGCAACGATTCCTCATCTTTGGGAAGGAGCCGTAGTTCATCTTCATCTAGCCCACGGGTTAGGAAACCAAGACCCAGAAATCAAACCCAGACGGAAATCCGCGGAGGTCACCAGCGCAAAGCGCGGGGCTCCCTACGCGTAGGACTAGTTGGATGGAAATGATGCAAAGGACTAGGCAAATCCAACAAGTAACGAACACGGAAGAAACCATGGAAGATGAGTCCGGTGCCTTAGAGTCCATGGCAATGCCATTGAGTTCAGGCCTTAGTTTCAATGGAAACGGTCAGAGCCCTAGAGAACCGCAAGGCGCCTACCAGCAGTTTGTTTTTGAGGATCAAAGACAAGTTCACTTCCATGCGCCATCGCCGGACCCAGGGGTGATTGCTGCAGCATCCAGCGAAGTGTTTTTTGCCCGAGAGCAAGCAGCCCAAGCAGTTGTTGAGGCAAGGTCTCAAACCATGGATTTAAGGGAGCAAGCCGTGCGTGCAATAGCTGAAGCTTGATCCCAGACGGTTGCCCAACTCGCTGCGCTAAGGGAAGAACTTGTTGCAAGAGAAGCTGCGCTTGTGGTAGCAAACGAGAGGGCTAGGACACTCGAAACGCAATTGCAAGAGCTCAGATCTGCTATTGACCCTAATGGTGCGGGAAACATTGCAGGGGACATGACAACTTTGATCGAAGCACGGATCAAGCCAATTGAAGATGGGTTGAGCCAATTGAGGGAAAGGTTTGATGGTTCATTGGGACATCGGTTGCAAACATGTGAAAAGAAGGTTGATTTCATCGGTAGTAGGATGGATCAGATGTTGCGTGACATGGTAGAAGATAGGTTAAGGTTTCAGGACCTTCATGCTGAAGTTCATGCCATGCGACAGGACATGTGGTGGGGGCAACCGAGCAGTGCTGCATCATCGCAACAACATTCCCCTAAAAGCAACCCAGAAGCTTCCA